AAATTAATAAAAAAAAAATTAATAAAAAAAAAATTAATAAAAAAAAAATTAATAAAAAAAAAATTAATAAAAAAAAAATTAATAAAAAAAAATTAATAAAAAAAAATTAAAAAAAAAATTAATAAAAAAAAATTAATAAAAAAAAATTAATAAAAAAAAATTAATAAAAAATTAATAAAAAAAATTAATAAAAAAATTAATAAAAAAAAATAAAAAAAGTTTACTTACGTGCTATGTACGCAGATTTCCCAATTGGCAAATTTTTTAATGTGGCTCGAATAATGGGAACAATAATATCTGCCACATATGTCCCCTCGCTCTGTGTTTTTTAGCAAATTTAGGGGTAAAAGCTGGATTTTTCCAGATCTCTCCTCTATGATATAAAAAACAAATATTATTGTTATTAAATCTCAAGTATTCCAACTGAAATATCTTAAGAACCTCTTCGCTCTCTCTCCAATTCTTATCAGAAAGTTTTTGTAGAGGTATATCTGTAGAGCCATCGTCATAGTTTGTTAAAAAATTATTACATACTGTTTCAATTGAGGGAGGGGAGATATAGGGTCTTTGCCTTGAAAATCAAATTATGGGACATAGTAAATCATATGTTCCATATTTGATTTTCAAGGCAAAGACCCCATATCTCCATCTTTTTCGCTGGTTCCTAATAATTCATATATTTCATTAATTTTAAGCATATTCGACACCATGTAATGATTTTTATTTATAAACACAATTGAAATATATTTATTCTTACCATAAAAGACTCATATTCTTCTTTGTAATTGTTTAACCTCCTTTGATTTACTACTGAGAACCTGGCTTGCAAGTGGATCACGTCATGAAAGTTTTGAGAACTTAACCTTACCTATTATCTTTCGTAAAGGTTTGGCATACCGTTCTTCACTTTTTTTAAGGTTCCCTTTTAATACTCGCAAATTAGTTTCAATCTCGATGGATAAATCCTTCTGAGCAGCCTCAAAATCCCGAAGACTACGTACTCCTTCGAAAGCATCATCAAACTAACGTAGAGAAAAAAATTTAAATTATATTGTATATTGCTACTATGAATAATTATTCTAAAGTCGTGTGCGCACACGTCAGATTTTTATCATGCAATATTATCAGCCATGTGTGGCCAGTACATAGATGATAAATTACATGATATGGGGCCTTTGCTATGATTTTTTTTTACTAAAAATAGATTTGTTATGATTTTACTAATTAAAATCTTGTGTAACAATAGCTCGGAGGGTCATTTTGTTAGCAAAAGCCCCATATACGCTTTCATCTTAAACTAAAAACAAAAAAATACCCCCATACGTCTGTGGATTAATACAAGATCAAACCAGGGCTTGTATGGCTTTGGATATAACTTTGCATCAGTTATCAGGATAATATTCTGCGTTATCATCCTATAATACAAAGGTTTTCTATAAAACAATTATACCACCAACCTTTAATGGCAAACTCTGAAGCTTTTTGTATTTTTCTGAATTAGGTGTGTATGATGGCATAACAGCTGTAATTGCTTGGTGAAATATTTGTCTTAAATCATCCTTTGCGATCGAGGGCTCTTCATCCATTGTGCCGTAATGCCATAATGACGTAATGCTATAATGCCGTAATGCCATAGTGTCGAAATACTGTAACGCAGTAAACTTTTAAAGTACTTTCAACCAAGAAATAATTTTACTAATTAGATAAAATACTTTTCGGCCCATTATGTATTTGATGTTTATAAAGTCATATATACGCAAATTGCATGTTATGACTGTGTTGTATATAAAGCAGATGACTAAAAGATTAAATATTATCATTATGCTTATGCGTTGCCCAAGTGAAAAAAAAACTTAAAAAGTGGCGTTGCAGCAAATTAGCAATAAACGATACCTATTATTATCATGCAAAAATTCAAATAACTGTTTTAATTTTAAAACTTTGATGATAACAATAAACAAAACTATCGTAAAATGGCTAAGTACGAGCTATAATAATAGCACAGCCATTTATTCTTATTTAAAAATAAGCTGAGCAAAGATTTGAAAAATAAGCTGAGATTTTTGAAAATAAGCTAAATGAAAAATTTAAAAATAAATCAAGTGAAGATTTTAGAAATAAGTCGAGTGAAAATTTATTAAGCTAACAATTAAGAATTTTAGTAATCATATCAACGTATCGGTATGTATGTACATAAATACAATGAAATACAAGATTTATATTCCTCAACATAATCCTGACTAAACGTGTTTAACGATAAATCTAAAGATCATGAGATTATATAAGTAATACTTAAATTAAAATATTATATACAATGATTATAAACCTATAAATTTGATACGAACTAGATTGAAAATTAAAAAAATAGCTTAGCGTTAGTAATTTTAACATGTGAATTATAGTAATAGTAAGTGGGTTCATGTTTCGACAATGGATGTTTGTGATTTCATTAGTAGATAATTTACAATTTAATTGGTGATTTTAATCAGGCCTACCGAAAAATTAATTTCAATTAATTTTTATCATACGTAATACAATTAAAATAAATTAAAATTATCATGAAATTAATTGAA